TAACATTTCCTTATGTTTGCAATATTACAATGGATACAGGTTTTTTTTAATTAATCTAATACATTTAACAGTCATTTAATACTAGAAGGTCTCACCATTTTCCCCTCCAAAGCCAACTAAATATGTTTGTGCACACTTCATGTTTTTCAGAAGTGGAAAGCCTTAATAGTCGTGTTAATACAGAATAATTTGGACTATCCCAGTTTTCTTAGCCTTTTATCCACTTGAGCTGTGTAAGGCAGCTTCCCTGTCATAGGACAACCTAGCAGTTATGGCTCTATTCAAGGACCTGAGGTTTCATAGGAGAGAGGGGGGGAGGGAGGGAGAGAGAGAGAGAGAGAGAGAGAGAAATTACAGCACCAAGGTGGCTGAATACCAGTTCAGTGGGACTTATCCCCAAGTATAATGTGCTGTGAAAATAACCTTGAGAGACAGGAGGAAGAGATGCAGCCTGAACAACAGTCTGAAAAGAGTAATCTGAGTCCAAAGCAGGAATTGGGTGGGAGAAAGCTTCTCAAAATTGACACTCCCCAGTTGTTTGGAACATAAAGGCAGGGGAAGAGGTACTATAAACTCACAATAAAGGTAGTGTTAATATTCTTGGTTTTGGTTTCCTGGTTTGGACTACCTTGAAAGGGTCACATCAATCCACTTGCAAGGAGCCTCTTTATCTGCCTGTTTCAAACATTACCTATGTGTTTGGGGCTGGTCCTCTCAGAAGGTTTGTCAGCGCTGAGTGCTGTTAACACTGAAGGTGGCTGCTGGGCTTGAAGGTGATGGTTGTGATGGGCAGCATGGTGGTGATTAACTCCCAAAAAGGACCTCACGTTTAGCAAGGAGCTTTGGGTGAGAAACGCCCCATTTGTCCAGTTGTGAAACTTGCCAATCTGGCAGGTATAAAGTCCATGGCTGGGAAGGAAAGCTGGATGCTGGAGCTGGGGGGAAGTGTGGTTCACTTGGGCTGGAGGTGAAGGAGGAGCTGGCTTGCTGAGGGCTCCATCTGGACTAGTTGCAGTCTCTGCCAAAGACCAGATCTTGGGTTTGTTGTGCATTGGGCCTTGCAGGGTGTTTTGTCTGCTGGGGCTCAAGATCCGAGTAGGGTTGTCTGAGGCCTCCTTGCCCAATGGCAAGGTTTCCTTGGGTTTAAGTCCTTCAGAGCCTGGTATTGGCAAGATCTTATTTTTCTCCAAATGGACGTCTTCTCTCCTTTGCCTCAAGAGCTCAACTTTCTCTTCCTCTTCCTCATTACTCTGCTCTCCATCATTCTCATCAATTTTGTCAATGTCAATACTCTCCAGATCAATCTCTTCATCGTCTTCATTTTTTTCAGGGTCCCCCTCATTGTCGCTTCCGAAGAGATTGCCATCCTCTTGATCTTTGCTCCGGGCTCCCCATGTGACCTTGTTCTCCTTCTTCAGCCTCCTCCGGGCATTGGCAAACCAAGTGGAGACCTGTGTGAGGGTCATCTTGGTGATGATGGCCAGCATGATCTTCTCACCCTTGGTTGGGTAGGGATTCTTGCGGTGCTCATTCAGCCAGGCTTTCAAGGTGCTGGTGCTCTCTCGGGTGGCATTCTTAGGTCTTCCTGGGTCCCCATACTGGAACTGCCCATAAGGATAATAACCAGGAGTGGTGTGAGCAGCAAAGGTAGCAGGGTGGACTCCAGGGTTGTCCTTCAGTTCATACTGGGAACCCTGGAAGACATTCAGAGAAGCAGAAAAGAAAAAAAAGAATGAGGAAGTTATTCAATTACTTCCTTTCCAGTCTCTTCAGCAAAGCTTTCCCAAATTATTTTTCTTTCAGATAAAAAGAATGGGAAAGATGTTCCATCTCTCCCTCCCTCCCTTCAGTCTCCATCAAAGCCCACCAGCCTTATTTCTGAAACCCAGATTCAGGAGCAATATTTATTGTGCTATTTAAAAAAAAAAGTGGCAACCCACAAACGAGAAAGATAGTATCAGGGCATCATCACAGGCTGCTGGGGCATGTCTAGTGCAACAGACAGACGGCCCAGGCTGATTCTTGCTCAGCCCTGGCAGCAGCAGTTTAAAGAGAGATAGGGAAGAGAATGGAGTTATGCTGAATCTCCCTTTTGCTCTACCACACAAGGACAATGATAAGGCACAAATCAATCCAACCAGAGTTAAACACACTGAAATCATACTAATTTCGGGGTGTGTGTGTGTGGGGGGGGGAATTAAGCACATAAATCTTTCATAGGGGCTTAGCAGTATGATACTGCGTGCCTACTCAGAAGTAATTTCTAGAGTTCAAGGACCTTACTCACAGGAAATTGGATATAAGATTTTAGCTCACAATAGGATGTCTTTGTCCCTCCATTTCAGCCACTTCTTGCTTTTAGTAGAATAAAAATAATGCATGCATTCATATAGTTATTTCTCAGAAATTATTTCATCTAACTGGAACAATATATCCCCCCCTCAACTTTGAACGTCGTTAGTGAAAGTGATTTATTTTCAATCAATATATTATCAGCAGTAAAGCAAGGAAATCAAATTAGCCCATCAAGTCTTTGGTATATAACATTTTATCTTCCAGCAACCACATTAGGCCTCATTATTACCACCAATGGCAAATTTAAGCAAGTGCATACAAACAGTTATTTTATGACTGTTCCTGGAGCTTCAGGAACAGTCTCAGCCTAAGGTTCTGAGTTCTAGGAATCAGGTGTACCCTGAGGAGAAACAAGATGTTTTATTCCCCTCTGCTTCCTATCAGTGTCAAAGTTCTCCTCCTTTGTGTGTTTGTGTATGTGTGTGTTTTAAATAGAAGATCAAGCTTTTTAAAATGTTTAAAAATCACCAGAGTGGAAAAGCCAAATATTCCTTTGCAAAGACATTGGTTTTTTTCCCCAAGCAGGTTTGCAAAAGCAATTGTAAAAAGGAAATACAGACGTATACACTCTATGAAAAAGCAAAATGTAATTTTTAATAATAACTCTATTAGAGTCTACTCGCTATATTCCCTTATCTCACTGAGCTATTTTTGTTCTGGTTGTCGAAATGATAAATTCTGTATTCCCCTGTTGGGAATTCTTTTGAAGTAGCCACTTGAAAATCATTACTGCTTCTACTTATCATTTACTGGTGGACAGTAAGTGAAAATAGATGGTCTTTTTCAGCCACTGCCTGCTGTATACAGTTGAATAAAGATGCTTTTCTAAGGATTTCTTTTATTTTTTACAAAGATTGTATTTCATTTTTCAGTGGTTATTTTTGTTGTCAAAAGTAGGTATGACATTACCTTGCTCAATATATTTACTTCCTTCTGTTCAATGTAAATAATCCTTAAACACCACAAACATAATAACGGACAGCAAATCTATCAAGGACAAGTTATACGCGCAATTGTTTCATATCTGTTAGCATTTAAGCGCGGATACATAAAACATGCGAAACAATAAACCTGAAAGAGAACATCCGTTTCTTCTGAAAACATCCTAAAAAACGTCCGCATAAAAGCAATCAAAGAACAAGAACAGTAAGCAGCTAATTTTATTTAAATTAAATTGCAAAAAAAATAATAAATCGCCATAAATGTGCCATTTTGAACGGGGGGGGGGAGGGATTCAAATGGATCTGTAACCGTGGTTTAAATGAGGACTCGAATTAACACCGCGAGTCAATTCCTTCATTTCGAATGAAAAGCGAGAGTAATTTTATGAAATTAGGACAAGATCTGGAAAAAAAAGACACGGCGCGGGGAGGAAGGGAGGAAAGGAGGGGAGACGGGGGGGGGGGAAATCCCGGTCCGATTTTCTTCGGAGGCGTTTAGGGGAGGCCGGCGATCTCGCGCCTGGCGCTTTCCCGGCCACACAAAATCAAGGAAATCTCTCAAGTTCCAGCAGCGTCGGCAAGGCGGAGAAGCCCAAGAAGGGCGCCTCGGATCGAAAGAGCGCTTCGCCCTTCCAGACTGACCTGTCAAAGCGGAGGCAAAAAACTGGCTCGGAGATGGTCCGGAGACCCGCCGCGGGCCCGGACGAGGAAGGCAAGTCCCAGAAGGAGCCCCGTTTGGATAGCGGAGGAGCGTGGCACGAAAGCAAACGGCCTGGACGAGGGGGCGACCTTCGCCTGCCAAAGTCGCGAACTTTCCCGAGCTCCCGGTCGCGTCCCCCTCCCCTCCGCCCACCCCCCCCCCCCTCGGATCGAGGCCAGACTCACCATCTGCGAGAAGAGGGTCAGGTCGGCGGTGTAAGGCAGGAAGGCGCTGTAGTTGGCCGTGCTGTAGGGTCCGGCGGCGGCGGCAGCGGCGGCGTACATGCCCAGCACTGAGGTGACGGCGGCGGTAGAGCCGCTGCTCAGCTCAGCCCCTCCTGGACGGCCTGAGGTGGCGGCGGCTGCGGCGGCGGCGGCGGCGGCTGCGGCCAGCACCCCCGGGCGGTCGCTGCCGCCGTAGACGGCCTGGCTGGCGCTCAGGTACTGCGGGTAGCCCAGCTGCGGGAAGGACATCCCGGGCGTGCGGGCGGGGAGGGACCGGACGCACCGCCGACGGGGCAAGAGCGAGCCAGGAGTCGGCGGCGGAGCGAGGCGGGCGGCAAGCGGAGGGCGGAGAAGCGCCCCGGCCGGCTTCTCCTGACTGCTTTGGGAGGCAGGCAGGCAGGCAGGGCAGGCAGAGAGAAGCCCCCGTCCGAGTTGGTTTTCTTTTTGGTTCTGCGATCGGTCCCGTCTCTCCCGCTCAGACGGATCGGAGAATTTGCATGGGGAAGAGGGGAGGGGGAGGAGGAGGAGGAGAGGAGGCGGTGGTGGAAAGAGGAGGAGGAGGAAGAGGAGGCGGCGGCCGCAGTGCGTGTGGGTAAACTCGGTGGGGCGTCTTCCCTCAAATCTCGGCTCGTCTGCGCTCTTAAATCCCTTAGATGTGATCTGATCAACAATTGAGCTCCGACTGATGCGCCTGCCCTAAGGTCCTCGGCTGATCTTTCAGATACAATTTGAAGTTGATGCTTTGATTGGCACCCACTTGAGCTCCAAGCACCGCCTACCCGACCCCGCGTTCCCCCCTCCGCGGAACACGTGGTTTAGCAATCCTGCCAGGACCACTTCGCCCTGATGAGTGTGAGTGTGTGTGTGTGTGTGTGTGTGAGAGAGAGTGTATGCGTGCCTGCGCGCAGCTGCTGTGCGGTGCGGGGGGGGTGTGCGTGCGTATTTAAAGCCCCCGTTGCTGTATGACAACCTGTCTACACGATTTTACAGCTGCCCAACATTGGGGTTTCGCTGTTTAGTGTGTCCCCTTCAGAACAAAACAAAACAAAACAAAACAAAAACGGGGTCGTTTTTTTTTTTTTTTCCCCAGCGCTTACAACTGACTCCTCGCAATTCGGATCATCAGTGAGGAAGTTAGACTTTTTGGGAGGGTGGAGCTGCCACTTACTTTCCACTGACTTTCATTTTTGTTTGGATAGTAGTCTATAATCGAAGCAGTAAGCGCAAACCCAGAATTAAACCTTCCAGCTGCTCTTCCCAGAAACCTCTTCCTTGCAATACTAAACAAGTGAGTACTGTGCTCTTCTCTTCCCTCATCTGCCTTTGCAGTAAATAAACTTTTAAAAGATCCTCGCGTTCTTGTATGGGAGTAAAGATGGAAGCCCGCCAGCGTTGAAGAGGAGATCTTTTTGTTGCTTTCTAAAACCTCCAGGAGAAAAAGCAAGCGCGGGGAGCGCAGCATTTTCTTCGTTTTAAGAAATTGCCGCCTAGCGGTGCACAATTTGTTGCCTTTTGTACGACCGTGGCGTGGCCTTGGCATCGCTTCTCTGCTCTCCGGTTTCGATCCGCTGCCTTCTTCTAGGGTCCCTGCCATTCTCGCTCGGGCCCTGAAGCCAGGCCGCGGAGCTCTTTCTCCCGGCTGGAGTGGAAGGCGCCTTTGTATCTCCTGGGCAAGGTAGCAAAGACCGCAGGGGCTCCGCCCGTCCTCCTGGACAGCTCGTCATGGGGTGCTTAATTCTCGCCAACCAGCATCCAGACAAGCGAGACCACCCCGTTCCTAAACCGGGGAAGAGAGTGTGCAGTCCCGACCGTCTGAAGGTTTTACAGCAAGTAATTCTTGCTGAAGCTAATCCAGAGGGCTCGTTTTGTGGGGCTTTCCAAGCTCTGCAAAAGGTAGACGGCGCACCACACAATCAGGCTTCGTGGTCTTCAAGGAAGCTTCCTTCAAAGTGGGACATCAGAAGTCAACTACTTCCCCCTTGCCTTCTTGGCCTAAGATGTGTTTCCAACGTGGCTGTAGCCTATACAAGTTTACAGCCACAAAGAAACAGCCATTACAATATCCACTAAAGCAGATTGTAGCCTGTAAATCTTACAATTCCTGTAAATCACTTACCTCATTTTTAGGCCCCTTAACTACAGGAAGGTGGGGAAATAGAAATGTGTGAATGTCGACCCTCCTGCTTTGGATTAATTCATATTTCAGGTGCTGCTCTTTTCGTTTTTTTCCCTCTTGCTTCTACTTCAAACACAGATTATGGATTAGCACTTGATCTCAAGTCTTCCCCATACCTTGCTTTTGAAATTTTTTTGAAATGATCTGGAGGTATATATCTAAACAGTAAAGTACCAATGCAAGAAGCAAGCCTAGGCTTAAACTTGCGCATCATGCACCTTAACTGGCTACACATCCAAACCACTAATCTGTAGTTGTGCATTGTGTAAATGGTTTACTGGCATCACTGGATTCGTCCTGAATACTTCTTAATTTCTTCTCTGTTCAAGCTTTCTTCCTAGGAGTCTGGAGGTGACATTTTGCTTCTTACTGGTCTACCCATTGCCAAACTCCAAGGGGGGAAATAAAAGATTTGGGTCACAATCCAGCCACCCATGAAGTTCTTCTAACTCAGATCAGTGGGATTTGTAGCTATTATTTTGAGCCAGCCAAATAGAAGAACCAGGACAACTCACTCACTCCTTCCTTCCTTCCTTCCTTCCTTCCTTCCTTCCTTCCTTCCTTCCTTCCTTCCTTCCTTCCTTCCTTCCTGAAATCACTCAAGTCATATAGGTCTGTACAATGGGGGGAAGGGAATTTGGCTTAACGGTCCTTAAGTTAGGTGGCCACCTAAATCAGGACAGACTGCACTGCAGTAGTCCCTGGGCCAGGTTTTAAAAAAAGCTTCAAGGTAGAAGAAGGGAAAGGTTCACTCCCCCCCCCCACACACACATACAACCTTTTCCAAGTAGCAGTCGAGTGAAGGCGAGGGGGAAGGGAGGGGAAGAGACAGGAGGAAGAACAGATTTTCGGTTCTCAAAGAACCTCAAAAAAAAAAAAAAAAAAAAACAACCCCGTGAGAGGAGCTAGATGCTTTCTACTTGCCTAGTTATAAGTAGAAGTTTCTCTGAGCAGCTAAGTTCTTGGCTTCATTTGTTGTTCCAAGGCCCGTTGCGCTTCTCTCTTTCTCTGACATTGCAGGCACCCCTTGCTTTATCTGTGGATCTCTACTTGGCCTTAATACGATAACTGCCCCCATGTCGCCACCTTCCTTTTCCATTCCTTCCATTAAATAAAGTCCAGATTAACCCCCCCCACACACACACACTTTGGGGAGAGAAGTATATGCCCCCCCCCAATTCAATGACACAGACTTCCATAAGATTTTGAAGCCCTCCACATTGACAGAGCAGCTTTGCAACCCACCCATCTCTTTTATGAAGTAGTGCTTTTCTTCGAGGTGCAACTTAAATCGATTTTGGAAAAGCTGGGAAAATCTGGACTTCAGTAAGAAAGCTGAAACCTCCCCCTTCTCTTACCCTTTACCGTCCCTTCCCGAAAGAGGAAGAACGTCAGAAAAACCACCGCCACTCTGAATACTGGGTTGTATTCAGGATTTTTCTTTTGTGGGATTTCTGACACAAAGTTAGTCGGAGCTGTGTAAAGTTTTCTGCTTTCTCTTTCAAATGATCTCTCTCTCTTTCTCTCTTTCTCTCTCTCTGTCTCTCTGTCTCTCTGTCTCTCTCTGTCTCTGTCTCTCTCTCTCTCTCTCTCTCTCTCTCACACACACACACACAAATACACAGACAATACTTTTCTGGAATTGTGGGATTTAATTTGCGAATAGGCTCCTTTAAAAAGGACTGCAAGCGATACTACCAACCTTTTGGTTGAAACACTTATTTTATTTTTTTAAGACAGGGAGTCCCATCAACCGACAGAGGAAGGAAGAAAGAAGGCCTGGATTAAAGTGCGAAGGAGCAGGCGAAGGCAACGAGCTGGGACAAAAAACGGAAAGGATCTGAAAGGGATGACCCTAGACGGAAGGCGCCATCCAGCCGAAGCGGATCCTATGCCTATTTATTGGAAAATAAAGGCGTTCCGTTGAACGGGACGGGACTCGGTCCCTGGTTAAGGGCTGCCGTTCAGGGGCGCCCCCCAGTTTCAGCCGCTTGCATTTATTTCATGAGGAAAATGCGACTTCTGAGGCTTCTTGAACGCGCTCCCCGCTTTCACACGAAGGGGGCCCTTTCAAAAAGCCTTGTCCCCATTAAAGAAATCCTCGACTCGAAGGCAGGTTTTTGTTGTTCACGACGTGTGTGTGTGTGTGTGTGTGTGTGTGTGTGTGTGTGTGTGTGTGTGTGTGTGTGTGTGATGATGCTGGAAGAAACTGGTTTTGCTGAGAACGTCTCAGATCGCTTCTGGCCAAAGCCTGGCCGAATCCAAGGTCTTTTTTTCCAGGACCGACAGGGTTTCGGCAGGGGTTTTCTTGCCAAGCCGGGCCTACAAGCCGCTACTTGACGAGGGTTAACCGAGGGAGGGGTGGGCAGCTGCGGGCCTGTTTGGGAAGAATCTGGGGCTACGGGTAAGGGGAAGGGAGTTTATCGGGGTTGCCTGGTAAGACCACGCTTGCCCAAATTAAAGGCCGAGGTTCCGAACTTCCTCGGCTGGTGCCGAAGGCAGCCGGCTGTTCCTCCCCTCAAGAGCAGCGGAGAAACCCGCCGCGGCTGCCGAAAGTGGAGGGCTGGAGACGGCAGTGGCAAACCGTTGAGTGGGGGGGGGGGCGGTGGAAGCCAAGATAGCCAGACGGGGACGCACCAGCGTGCTTTGCTGCTTGCCTGCCTCTCGGGGGACTTGAGGGACAATCCGGCTCCAGGCAAGCCTTCCCGGCGAGGGAGAGCTGGGGGGGGGGGGGGGAAGGAGAGAGAGAGAGAGAGAGAGAGAGAGAGAGAGAGAGAGAGAGAGAGAGAGAGAGAGAGAGCAAAGCCCAAACTGCAATCATAATCAACCGAAAGGCAAAAGACGCCGGGGCTGCTTTGCTCAGCTCCCCTTCCCCGCGGCTTCCTCGGCCGCTCGGCCCGGAGACGGTCGCGCGCTTCCTTTCCTTGACATTTCTTTTTTTTCTTTTTGTCTTCCCGCTCGGTGGAGAAGTCCGCGAGTGTACAGCTGTTCTGGTTGTTCCTTTTCCCTGTGCATCCCTGGCTTCCCACGTCTCGGGCTTTTCCTGTGCAAAGAAAGGAGTCAGGAGCGTACACACCAACCCTTCGCAAAGCCCTCTCCAAACCGACCTCCAGTCCATTTATGTTTTTCAGTGGTTGCTCCTATGTTCACACGTGTACATTCCACCGAAGCGAATTCCATAATAGTGTATGACAACGGTCCATACGTCGGTACCTGTCCATCAAAACAAAAACAACAAAAACACCAAAACACCCCATTCCTTATGGCCACCTCAGATGGCTAAATCCGCTGGGTGATCAAAGGACGGCACTGTCACACGTCTTCATTTCCCCGCGGGATAAATAATCGCCCGTGGGATGCCACCCGGGACGGCGGAGAGGAAACCCTGTCCCAGTTTCTCGGTTGGGGCAGGAATCTCTACCAGGATGCAATTTGGGAGAGTTTATTTGCTGTTTTGCTTGCTGTCGAAGCACGTTTCTTTGTGTATTTTTCGGAGCATAGCAAGGAAAAAAACAAAAACAAAAAACTCAGTGGCAGATAGAAGTTGGGTTTCATTTAGCTTCCTTTATTTTCTCTCCCCAAATCGAATCGGCGGGAACCAACCAAGCTCCTTTCTAGTAGGCTAACTAAGCCTTTGCACGGGAGGTCCAGAAAGTTTAAGGGAACGGATTTTTGCAGTAAGCACCTAGTTTTGAGTGCATGGAAAGAACGAACCCGGCGTGTCCAACCTCTCCCAATGGCGCTTAACTATAACGGCGAGATCCAAGTTTAAAGGCTGCGGGGCGTGTGCGTCTTCACCTTAAAGGTTCGGCGTAGCCATTGTTTGGGCAGGGGAACCGGGGTTTCCTCTTGCGTCCGAGCCTGGAGGGGGGCCGGGGCGGGAGGGACGCCTCTCAACAAGTTCGGATTTACGAGGCTTGTTAAACACGCGTTATTACTTATCACTCTCCCCACTTCGAGGAGGCTGGGAAACAACCCCCTCTTTCCTTCAGCCCCTCCACACACGTCGGAGCAACACGGCGTGTGTCCAACAATTGCCAGTGGCCGGGAGATCCATCTCCGTGCTGTCATTCCCTCTCCTCCCCCACCCCCCCCTACCCCGCCCGCCCCTATTTTTTAAGCCCCAGAGCGGGTTTAAACCCGTTTTCTATTAAACTCCGGGAGTTTAGCTACCGCGCAGAAACTTTCCGAGGAGAACTTTGCACCAACACACTTAAAAGCGACAGGGACGGGCCACCTGCGAGGGCCGTGGGTGCGTCGTCTGAAAGGTTTTCGGTTTGGGACAAGGCGTCTAATTTGGGAAGGGGGATGGAGACGGCGAAGATTTCAATCCTCCATTCCAACGCCAATTTGAAAAGATTGCGAGCAGGGAAAAAAAAAATAATACAGAGTGTGGAGGGAGCGGGGGGGGGGTGAAGGTGGGTCGGAATAGCACAGTGAGAAAAGAGGGGACAGGATCCAGCCGAATTTGGCACTGTTGACCATTCTTTATGTTGGAAATTCTTTGATTTCAAACACATGGACAGACACCTCTCTTTCAGAGCCACAGCCCGCTAAAGGCACGGACCTGAATCCAAAATTGGGAGTAGAGCAATCAAATCTGAATCCAAACAAACGAATATGAATCCGCCTTTTTACATTCAAAAGATCACTGTTCTAAAGATGTATTTCGAGGCGAGGGAGGGTGGTGGTGTTTTTTGTTTTTTTTGTTTTTAATCTTCCCTTAATGCCCATGCGTTAAGACACTGCTAATTAATTTCTTTGCTGCCGCTGGATACGTCTTGTATTTTAAGGGGCGTTATTTATTCACTGCATGCTACAAATTACTAGATTATTACGTTAATCGCGTTAAAGACACACGGGGACTCGATCTATCTATTCTCTCCAGCCACCATTATTTACAGAGCCAGCCTTAATTAACATAATCATTCCCATTCTGCCTCGGCAAAGAGCTGGGATCTTGAAGAGGCGACTTTGAAGGTCCTCTTCGCTCGTTTGCTTGTGTCCCCGCTCCCAACCTCGTGTTGGGTCTCCGGGGGAGAGAAGTGCGCGTTGGTGGGAAGGAAAGGCTTCTTTCTCTCTCTCTCTCTCTCTCTCTCCCGCCTCCCCCCCCCGTCCCCCCACCTCCGGTTGCTACACTGCAGCCCTTCGGTTGGCTTTCTTCCTTCTGCTGCCGGATTCCTGCGGGGTTGCGCTGGGCTAGGCTTTGAGCCTGATCTCGCTGCTCCCAGGAGGCCTGGCCTTGCCGCCGTCCCGTTGCAAGGGCGCCCGGGTGCCGTTCCCCGCATTTCGGGACTGAGAGGGCTCCGCCCGTGGCGGAGAAACTCCACGCGCCCGGATGAGGCCCGGAGGTCCAATTGCTAAGTTTGCGCCTAAAGACCCGCAGGAAGAGCCGAGAGGCGGGCTTGGAAAGGCAGGGGCGCGGGTGGCGACTCCTTTTTGCACGGGGGGGGGGGGAAGCCGGGTACGGGAAAGCTGAGCTAGGTGTGTGTGGGGGGGGGGGGGAAGAAGGCGTCTGAGCTCCGGGGAGCAGAGCTGAAGGAACCGGGGAAGCTTCTCTCGCCTTCGTAGAAGCCGCCTCTTAGCGAACCCAGTGCTCTGTCACGGCCAGCGGCATTTCCCCCGTTTAGTTCCAGTTCTGCTGGCCTTGCTGCTCCCTTCCTCTCCTTGCTGTGAAAGGAGAAACGCAAGCTCTTCGGGGCAGAGATGGGTCTTTTGGGCCTCTGGTAAAAAGCAATCTGTAAAAGAGTCCCTTCCTTCCTTCCTTCCTTCCTTCCTTCCTTCCTTCCTTCCTTCCTTCCTTCCTTCCCTTCCTCAATTAAAGAATGCGCTGCTTTAATACCTGTGCCTTCCAATGCACACTCACTAGGTACAATACCCCAAAGGAACCTCCGGATCCGCTACAGACTGCGTTGCTTTTCCTGAAAAGCAGCACTTGGACTACACACACTATTGCCTTTCTTGGATAGATTCTCACCAGGATCAGGCTGAAGACGACGGGAAAAACAAACTGCTGAGCTAAAGCAGATTCTTAGGCTCACCCAATTTGGTATTTTAGCAGCATGACGCTTGCAACCTGGTTTTTTTTTTTTTAAATGACATAGTGCCATTGTTTAATGGAACATCAACATTTGCCATTAAATCCCCCCCCCCCACATACACACCGGAATTTTAACTGCACAAGAGCAGATGGACTTTTTATCACCTCTGAATTCAAATGGCTGTTCAGAAATTTAGTTAATATTTGGTTTGCTGTAATAGATACAATTTAGTTAGACAAGTAAGTTCTGCACATTCTCCATGTATGATCCTAAATACATAAACACACATTCCCCAAGAATTATACCCCAACCTCATAGTGTGAAACAATTTTTCATGGTGTTCTTATGTGTTCATGTTCTCATGGTGTTCTTTTTTTTAATGTTTCTCTATTTTCAGCAAAACAAAAAACAAAACAACCATGGGTCTACATAATGGGCTTCTGGGTGCACAAATGCAGAAAATCATTCAAAGTGTGTAGTAACTGCAACATACTTGCACATGGGAAGACAGGTTAAAAGTAGCAGAACTTACCTACTTTAAAAGAGAAACCCAGAGTTTGCTATATATTTCTGTCCATTATTTTCAGAAGCATAGTCAGAGCATGATCTCTCTGAGCTTGACTACTTCTTTTGAGTAAAGTTGGGCTACTAGGACTTTGCAAAAGCAGTCTTGGGACTGGCAGGAGATAGAGTTTCAGCCTCAAGACCAAAAACAGCTGGAGGCCTAGAAGTTGGGATGACTGCCCATGTTTCTGGCAACAGGGCCTGATGAGAATCCACAGGAAATAATGCTTTCCCCAGGATGGTTGCTGTTGCCTGAACATCAGACAGCCTGGTCCAGCTTGAGTCAGGACATAGCAGAGGCAGGGATTCCCCCAAAATATTGGCAGTGTGACATGTCACAGAAACCATTACATGTCCAAATGGCTTCTTGGACTTGGCATGTTGGAATTTGTTTGGGATTTTGAACACTTAAAAAAAGAAGAAGCTCCCCACTGATATACCTATACAATTTCAGTGGGTATGGCCTTTGTTTGCTCTACAGTATTGTTAACTTTGAGTTTCCAAAATGGTTTGAGCTGTTCACAGGGTTCACATGCACACTACTGATTATTGCATATTTTTTTCCTAGATGGGCACCTACAATTTGGTCAACTATCTAATCAGAATATTTGGCTATGCTACTATTGTATGTTTCACAATGTCACTATCAAGAAGGATCCATATAGTAGAGACTCTCCTGTCTATGAATCAATCTGGTAGCAAATTAATAAATGTTATTAAATAGTGCTAGTGTTTTATGAACTATAGCTTACATTATCAGATGCATAAAGTGGTCATATTTTTGGCTCCCATAGAGTAGGGGGCTTCTCTTACAATGTTCTGAGCGATGAATAACAAACAGTGATGTGGAATTAATTGCATAAATATGCCCATAGACATCCTCCCACAAAGTCCTTGAGATAACAAACTGACTGCTCCAAACACGGAATACATTCATCAACCATTTGGATAGGGTCTGATAAGAACACTGGAAGCAGGATGCAGGAATCATTATCCACCTGCATAGCCTTGCATCTGGAAAGTGTCTGTTATGTGATACATTGTAACCACCCCTATATACGTCTTTTGATTACGCTGTGTGATGTAAAAACTATAGTAACAATAAAATAGGGTGTTGGAGTCAGCTCTGGGCTCCCATCCCGAGATACCTGCGTGCATGTCTCATTCTCCATGGGAGACCACCACACAGTGATACCTGTTGCAAGGAATTCTCATTCCCCTGCCAATTTCTGGGTTATATATGTGCTGCAATTACCAGCTTCCAATTATACTTCTCCAATGTTGTACTAGCACTGTTCATGTTTACTAGAATTATGCTGAAGTGTATGAAAAGATCCTCCATTGTTACTTCACAGTCTTCTTACACAGTTTTATGGTAGTTGAAAATGGAAGTCTTAGTTGAAGTATCTTGACAGTGTACCTTCCATATACAAAGAACAAATATTTCCATTACAGGAACAAGTTACAGTATATTCCTTTGTATATTTTCAGAAACAAATTTAACTGTTTAAGTCTGAGTAGCTGAAGAAGTAAAATTATGGCAATGATCTATGCTGTTGAGAACAGTTTTAATCAGCAATAGCCAACTCTCAGTCTCAGGAATTATGAGTGAAAGACACCTGTTTTGGCAGCTTAAGAGCAATTTTGGCTCATTAAGACCCAGAATGAAAAATAATAAATATAAAATGTGGCCTGTTTGCTGATAAAATTCCACATTTTCAATATCTAAAATTTTCATTCCCCCCCCTCCCAAAAGCTACTTATATGAAAATTAGTCTTCAGTTTATCTTGGTGAAATTTGCCTTCAAATAAATCTGATTTAGGGTCTAATCTTCATCATTTCATTTATTAATTAACAATGTAGGTGACTGATCAATTAATTATTTTTGAAACAGGTATAAAATGTATTTCCTTACTATGAGTGTTAACTTGTTTGAAATTATTTTAGGCAGAATTTAAAATAAATAACCCACTGACTACTTCACTGGAAAGATGACTTTGTTTATTTTAAATCTAATTATATTACTTGTTGACATAGGAAGACATTTTTTTGTATACACATATGCACATAAACATTTATTTTCAAATAAAGCATTTTTATCCATATGAAGCATGTTCATTCACATTCAGAGGCAGCGTTAGAGAGTCAATTTTTTTCTCTGACACGATTCCTTGTTCAATATGCTTATATTTATATAACTAATTTAGGACAGTGAAGAATGGGGGGAGGGAGTCTAGGGGAAAATATAAGAATGAAAAAGTAGCATAAGATTGGAAAAACATTACTATTCAGTCCAAGAGCTTTTCCAGACCACCAACCTATCTATTTTCCAAGACTTTATAACACACATTTAAGTGAAATGAGAATACTTTTGAGCTGTTTTCATGTACTTTATTGTGTTCTCTGTCTCTCTCTCTCTCCCTCTCTCTCTCTCTCTCTCTCTCCCCCTCTTTCCCTCTCTCTCTCTCTCTCTCTTTCAGAAGAAAATAAGCCACCAGTATTTACCTTGCTGCCTCCAAATGGCCAATTGTTGAATATCTCTTGCATCTAAGGCATCTAAATACACATCCCACTACTGCATGTAAATAAACTCCCAGTGCATCCATTAGATGTCCACCCTTAAAGATGATATAAATAAATAAATAAATAAATAATGTGCTAATACCCTATCCCCATCTGTTTACCTAGGTAATGAGGGGGGGGGAATGAACTCAAGATAGAAGATAGATGGTGAAAGTATGAAAATGGAAGTTCTCCATGGCCAAGGTGATACCGCAAATAAATCTTTGTAAAGCAGGGATTCTCAACCTTGGTAACTTTAAGACTTGTGGACTTCAATTCCCAGAATTCCTCAGCCAGCTTTGCTGGCTGAAGAATTCTGAGAGTTGAAGTTCACAAGTCTTAAAGTTGCCAAGGTTGAGAACCCCTGAATGAATGGCCCAGGATGCAGGAGGGCAGCAAATATGCATCTGTTTGCAGACCTGGTATGATCATACTAAGCTTCAATTACAAAAGCACTTGGAAGCTGTTGGGGTGTGGGTGTTGAGGAAGAAGAGTTGTGAATTACCACCCCAGAAACTTCACATTAGAAGCTTCACACACAAGATCCTAAATCTCCTTGGGGCAAAAAAAGAAAGAAAAATCAATGCAGATGGCCCTAATGGTTTAATGTCAGATGGAGAGGAGAGGCTGAAGCTGAACACAGGTGTGTGTGTGTGTGTGTGAGAGAGAGAGAGAGAGAGAGAGAGAGGGGGGGGTAGCTTTGTGGGAGGTTGATAAGAAGTCCCTCCCATTAAAAATTTCCCCAGGGACTGCAGAAATGCTCCTCATATTCCTTATATATGCTGCTAACACTGCTGATTTCAAAGGAAAAAAAAGGGGTTTATATTTAAGAAAACATGGAAAGTGGGAAGAACAGAATCTTGTTAGAAGTGTAAGATTTCTACAATCTCTCTGAGCCGTATATGAGTGGTGTATGCGGGTATATGCATTATTTATTTATTTAGTCATGTTTATGCAGGGTATATTGGCAGTGGTTACCTTTTGAGAGCTGCATGCAGCAGAATCTCACTTTAATGTATGCCGATTAGTGTGCATTTAAAGTGACAATAAAGTTTAGTATTCTATTCTATCCTATCCTATTCTATTATTCTATTCTAATCGGGGAACTGCAGGTAAGGGGGACTTTCTGAAGAAGGACAAAGAAAGAACCCCAAATTTGTCCTGAGTATTGATTATAGTGGAAAGGATGGAGTAGAAGAGAAATGCAATCATTAAGACAATTAAGAAATGTTGTTAAATGTCTGCGCCTGCAGTCTAAAAATCAGAAGTTGAGAAAATGTGTTGCTGTGCTTTTTTCAGCTATTTTAATGGGACTTAGACAAGGCTTTCCTTGGGTAGGTTTGGATTATCCCTTCTTTCCTTTGTAGCATTTGGGAGGCACACTGCAATATCATTTCTTAGTGAATATGGGGAAAAGGATATATAACAAAAATCATAACAGATGATGCCTATTTTTTAGGATTATAATGAGAGAATAAAATATAGTTCTGCTCACAGTAATAAATTGATAATTTTAAAAGTGAAGTATTTGTGTACTGTTTTCAGTAACAGTCAAAGCCAGAGATTCGTATTTGCTGGTGAAGACATGGATGGGAAACTTGCAGGGAATTTTAGGGCCATAAGCTGAACTGGAAAAAAACAGGTTCTTGAAGAAACAATGGCAAAATACTTCCATATTGTTGTCAAAAAACCTGTATGGACACATGGAACTCCTCATTTATTCATTTTTCACTACGACCCTGGGGAGCATATAATAAAAACTAAAAATTAAAAACCTTTAGTGCAACATGGGGGATGCTGAACTGTTCTAGATTATTTTGATTTATGGGTTTTGTGAGCCCTCTTTTTTCATAATGGAGATTAAGAAACAGCTACCATTCCAGGCTGGAGAGTTATGGATTTTGGCTAATTTCACACTCTCCTTAGAATGTTCCTGGTAACCAGCAAGATATTCAGATCAGTTAATGGTCTGTAAATATTAAAAAGCTTTTTTTATTACTGTGATTTAATATTCTACCATCAGCAGTCGTCAAAGACAGATTTAGGGACATTTCCTAAGCAGAAATAGTTTGTGTAGGTTCAGCATTGTGGATTCCTTACTTCCTGCTATATTGAAACTTTTAGGAACATTTTAGAAACTTTGCTGTGTTTCTTATCCTTAAAGAAACACACTATTTGGGCATCCTGGTTAATTTTATGTTCTATATTTATAGTCAATATTTTTACAGAATAAATATTTAAAATTATACTCTGGCTATATGTATTTTTTATTCATTTATTGAATTTATATGATTGTCCTTGTCAAATACAGGACTCTGGGTGATTTACAACACTAACAATGCTTAAAAAGAAAGACAAACTAATAATATAGTTAAAAAAAAAAGAAATGAGAAATAACAAAAAGCAGCTGAGATAAAATACCAGTCAAGCCACATTGGGCATTATTAGTGTGCAAAACTCACAAACAATTAGTTAACATAGTATAATTATGAGTAACAAATTTTATTGATGCAATCTAACGATACTCATTTTTATATTGGACTGCTATTTTATATTTCATTTTGGTTTAAAATTGTTGGAGTATGGTAATTAAATCGTGCAGAGTTAACATCTACATATTTTTTTATTTTTATTGTCACATTTTATCAAAATTACCATAGTGTAGTTTATTATTACTCTTAATCCTGTTATACATGCATTGTGAAATATTAACAGTCACAGTATGTATGTGTATATCTGTATCTGTAGCTATAAGTATAGATAATCAGCCCAAATCAACCCACTGCACAATAAAGCCCTCTTTACCCTACAGTTATGGACTGTAATTTACTATGCTGGTCCTGTAAATATTGGTAGGTATCGGTAGGTGGTCATCCAGCCAGCTGCCATTCTTAACCCAGACCTCTGCACTCCTAATCCACATCTTAACCACTAGATCACAATTATATTATTCCATTTTGTAATTTTAATATAGATTCTAGTATTGTAATGAGTTCAAAACTTGGTGCCAGTAATTCTAATCTACCTACTTCTTCCATAGTTTATAGGTTAGATTGTTTCTGTTAAGTTGCATATTACCTTAGGCTTTTTAATGATCAAAATAAAGATTATTTTTTGACATTCTTGTTTTTTGTTCCCATTGGTGTTTTGATGTCTTTTAAACAAAACAGTTCTATTTATCTTTGGGATTAAGTAAGAATATATGCACACTTGATGCTTAACTGCTCCTGTTTGGTGTTCATGCTGGTTTGACTCTAACTGAGTGAAGAAAATCCTGTCCAGACTTTGGAAACAACTAGCAAGGTATTCAGTCCCATTTATAAGCTATTTTTTCCCCTTCCATTGGGCAGTTCCCCTGCTGCTCTGCCTTTCCATCTTTATGTTCTGGAAAGTAATATGTAATCCCTTTCCATATATAAATGCATTGGTCTTCATATATGTGTGTGTGTGTGTGTGTGTGTGTGTGTGTGTGTTTTTTGATGCTTTAAATTTGTATATATAAAATGAAAATGTGTGTGTGTTTATGCTCATACACACATATTAATATATTATATTAATATATATTATATATATATTCATATGTTTGTATGCATGAGCATAAACACACACACATTTTCATTTTATATATACAAATTTAAAGCATCAAAACACATATATGTGTGGTAAGCACTGATTCAACTTTTGCACTTTTTGAAATGAAAATATATACAATTTAAGTATATTTAATTTATTTGAAGACCTGGAATATCCTCTATAAAGAATTAGGATTTGGTCTTTGATTTTGATGAGAATTCTTAGATCAATTGTGTCCAAGATCAGGAAGATCCATTTGTGGTATTAAATTCAATAGATATCAGTAAAAATGAATCATGAAGCATCCAGTCTGTTTTTTAAAAATATCTTGCAGTGCCTTTAAAGATTTATTTTTGAATTTCAACTTTAGGATGAAATCAAAGTAACTATTTAAGGTGCACACATATGTTGGTTGTCCAGAAAATTCTGATCACTTTTGCTTTCAACACAGAGTTCTAAGCCATGGACTAAATTGTTTTAGTGCTTCATATGGCTGACATTTATCATATGGACCTATCTGAGAAACACAAATTCAGTATCCCTCTGGTGTGAATTAATAAATAGCTTTGTTTTTTTTTTAAAAAAAAAACCTAGAACTTTAAAATATACATTTCATAACATAGCTATGCAAGCATTATCTCTTTCTCACATTTATATTCCAAATGTTCTTTGATATTCTATAAGTGATGCTTATTACAGCAATAATGAGAGATTGATTGACTCATCTCTGCTTCCAATAGAAGCAAATATACAGTCTTTAAAATGATAAAGCAAAATAAACACTTAATGTAATCCCAAGTACTAAAGAAGCATAGCAGTAGATTCTGAGTCTCTCTCAAAGTGATTTAATTCAAAGCTATATGGACTTTAAATTTGTGGCATTTTTTATTTTATACTAGAATCTTGAGACCCAGTAAATAGACTCAGGTGAAACAGACACACACACACACTTAATCAATGTATACAACAGACTTTTTTTTAAAAAAAATCCTAGAATTGAACAGGATTTACTCTTTCCATTAGTTGGGGCAAGAGTCATATTGTAACTGATTTTATTAAATAAAATCTGACCTTTACTGTAAATAACTCAGAGGTCTACCTGTTGATTAAGATTTTTTCTTCTGCCCACCCCTGATCATCTACAACATTCTTTACAAGAAGCTCTACAATCAGCAGATCCACTGGAAGTTGGCTAGTGATTTACAGGTCACTATGGTATGCTTTCATGTACATTATTATTGTCTACATATTGGAAAAGTATAAGAAAAATTGCTATCTAAAGGTTGCTCAGTCAACAACATTCCCCTGCATTATTCAAAAGATTAGATTATATTGTCCTACTGTAATTTCCAATACAATCAGGATGTGTCTGACTTTCTTTAAATGGTGTCTTTCATCCCAGCCCCTGTGTGTAATGTACACATTCATGACATCTTTATTCTGCCTAATTTTTTATCACCAAACTGGGATACTAGTAACTGCTACATTTGACAAGTCAGGCATATTCTCCAGTGATCACCACCAAAAGCAACTATGCAACTCAGCCCTGCACATCATTACCACTTCTGAAGCTAACTCAGTGTTTTTACAACTTGGCAAATCTAAGATGTGTGGACCTCAACTCCCAGAATTCCTCAGCAATAAATTCATTTTATGGGGGGGGGGGATTTAAGCTGAATAACTTTAAAAAAGAGCTGGAAGAAGCAGGACATTCTACTTTTCTTCCTAGAGTTTTTATGGACAAATATTTGCCAAATGGAATCTTATACACCTGTATGGATTATCCACAACATTTATAAGAATACTATTATCCTGATTTCTAAACAGCCTGAAAAGCCTAGATAAATAGAGAAGGTAGCATGGTCATCCATGTCCCTTGCAATGCAGAAGGACTCTGAACTGCACTCCCAAGTTTAGATAGAAAGAGTTTCAGAAAAGTTTCTAGTTTGGGTTAGAAGTGAACAGTAATGAAAAAGGCTTAGTGTTTGCTTCTGTTTAATGACAATATTAATATATTATTCAAAAACAAATACTTTGGGGCAACTTACAATAGTAATGTGTGCCAGTATTATTTTTTTGGTGTGTGTGTGTGTGGGGGGGGGGGCAAAAATTGCTCCAAGGATTTTTTCTGATAGAGGATGAACTAAATGGTTGGTCTCCCCACTCCTTACCCATTATCTTCCCTGCTATACCACTCTTGCTCTGATATAGAGATGAACTTGCAATGTAAGAAGAGTGAATGATAAAGAACATAAATGGCAAATGAAACGAAAGAAAGTAAATGCATCTTTTGTGTGCCAGTGAAATTAAGAGAAAAGGGAAGGATAGCAATAGATCTGAATGAAAATAGTCTGATTTTGTGGAATGGAATTGAGTTTATGCTCCGAAATAAAAGTGTTGTTTTAATTATGAATGAATGGGTAAAAGTGTATATCAGACAATATATTCTGAGTGGTCATTTAACCAGTTGTGGGTGCATATGAAAGTAGGAATCCACAGGTTGGTGATATTAGCATGTTAGCCTTCAATGAATGGTGTTAATAGGAGACAAGTTTGGGGAGGAAAAAAGTACAATATTCTGAATGAATGTGATCCAGAGGGGAAAAACAACTCTACTGGATGATATTATTAGGAACAAAATGAGAAAATACAACATAAAAAGGGACAGAGCCATTTAAAGACTGAAGAATTTAATGGGAACAGTGACTATTTGGTAAGAAGCTGCTTAGAAAAAGTATTGTTGGCTTTGAATATGTTGCTTAAATTTATTCATGTGTATGCATGTCACAACTGATTGGATTTTTTAGGAAAAAATAGAGAATTAGAGAAGATACAAGGGTGGATACGAGATTCTCAATAGGACACATTTCTTTCTAATGTCAAAAGTGGACATAGAAGAAAAGGGGGGAAAGTAAAGAAATAAGAGTAAAAGTAGAATGTAGGGACCCTGTATGGAAAAGCATGGAAAAGTATCAGACGATGGATTAATCTCAAAAAGAATGAGTGAAAAATAGACATAAAGAAAGAGGATATGGAAGCTGCTTGAAACCATGAAAAGAATTATGTCACAGAGAGTTACGGAAATGATGCTGGGAAATTAAAAAAAAACCGCAATGTTTTATGGAATGATGAAGTGAAAGAGGCTGGGTTGATCAAATGTAAAAGAATAATTGCTACCAAATGAGAATGAAAGATATTTAGGCTAAGTATACAGAGAAAAAGTGGGAGGAAAGCAAGAAATGAATACAATTAAAAGAGACAAGGAAAATGCAGAACAATTTTGATAGAAATAAAAATAAAAATTTGGAAGCCATTGATGAGGGCGGAAGAAGGAAGATCCAGCAGAGTGAAGGAATCAAAAGTAAAAGCAGTGAAATATTTTGGGATGCAACTGAAATAAAGAAAAACTGAAATGAGTATTTCAGAGATTTGTATAGAAATGGTATCTGGAATAATGAAATTGAAAAAAAAAATCTATGAATATTATGCCAAAGACCAAATGAAAAACAAGTCAGATCTGCTGTGGGAATATTGAAAAGTGAATGATTGCAATTGTTAAAACTGGAGAAATATTAAAGCATGGAAGCAGTTTGATGATGGAGTGGCTGTGCAACCTCTTCAATGTATGAAGACAGCATGTGTCTTGGAAGGCCGAAAGAATGCTGATACTCTTCTTCTGCAGAAAGGAAAAGGAAGCAAGAGCGAATGCAACAATTATGAGGGATTTTTTTTTGTTAAATTTCTGTGGAAAGGCGAAAGGAAAAGGAAGCAAGAGCGAATGCAACAATTATGAGGGATTTTTTTTGTTAAATTTCTATGGAAAGCATTTGGCACAATGCTACTTAAATAGGTATATGAAATGAGAATGAATAAAATTGGAGAAATGTGATGTGGTTTTTATGCCTGGCAGGGGGCGTGCAGATCAGGTTGTGCTCTTCTGCAGGTCACAAAAAAATGAATAGACGTGATAAAGAAGGTTTATTGAACCTCTCCTGATTGAGAGAAAGTGTACAATAAAATAAATAGTCTTGAATTATGGGCTATTTTAGGTGAACATGCTTGCTCACTGTGATAAGAGAGATATACAAGTGAAGCAAAACATATACTGGAATAAATGGGAATGGTTCAATATTGAGCAGGGAGTAAGATTAAAATGTGCAATGTCCCCGTAGTTGTTTAATGTAGCTATAGACAAATGTTTAAAGAATATTTCTGGTGTCATTAGAGATCTAGTAGTTTGGAACATAAATATAGGTTCCCTTTGGTAGAAGGTAATTTGTAATTGGCATCCTGTGGTTTATATGACTGGGTTGAGATAAAAGAGAAGACCCAGAAAGATATAGTGGGATGTTAAGAGAGAGAAGTGAAAATAAGAGAAGATATTGTGTGAAATGATATCTGGTTATGGTGGAAACAAGAATGTTTTGCAAGAATAGAGACGTATAAAGAAGTATTGTGAATGGTATTGGGGCGAGCTAATTTTAGCTATGCTCTCTTCCTTTTTTCTTATTTCACGCTTTTAATTTCTTTCTTGGTACTTCTTTAAATTTTTTTGGAGCACTGCCTAATGGTATCTACCCCAAAAGGGAGTAGTGTGATGGACATGTATGTATATATTAAGCAGCTAAAAATTATTTGAATCCACGAATAGTCTTATAGCTGTTTACCTATAAATATTTTATAGATCTGATCTTAACTCACAAAGTAATTTTCATCTTGTCTCTAAAGTGATCATCTGATATGTTTAGGCTGCTTTACATTTTGTTTTAAAATTCAAGTGATGTCCCCAAAGAATTTATCTTGTTTGAGCCAGAAATATACAACAGCCACAAATTGTAATGAATTTCTTGCTTGCTTGCTCTTCTTTTTTTTTCTCCTATTTTTGACTGGATTTTTATGATTCTCTCTCTCTCTCTCTCTCTCTCTCTCTCTCTCTCTCTCTCTCTCTCTCTCTGTGTGTGTGTGTGTGTGTGTGTGTTTGTGTGTAATTAGTTTGCACTGCTATTGCAGCCTCCCAAATCAATGCCTCGCAGAAGCAACGTGACACAGATTGCTGCAGTACAGGTATACCTTCCAGGAAGCTGCCAAACACTACAAGACTCATGTCTTACACATGGATGGGAGAATGCCATTCAGCCAATCTGTCAGCTTGAAACAGCCAAGAGGAAGGAGATCAAAGCCTAGAGCTGAACTTTTTCTCTCCTGATTAAAGTCTTTATGGTTTGAACTCCTAATGCTATTAAAGGGAACAGAGACATAGAGTGCACCGCCAGCTCCAAAATTCTAATTTTGTTAAAGTCCTGGCATATTTTGGCCAATATAAGCTTTCCAAACATTTCAAGATGTGTTGTTTTCTCTAAGGTCTAGTTAGCTATTCCTTGGAAATTACGCAGAACTAATACCTTCAGAGATGCATTTCTGTTTGTGGGCATATTTATTTAACTTATCTGCTCTAGAGAGATAATTTTGATTTTCAAAAGGTCTTTTAATAGGAGAGAGAGAGAGAGGGAGAGAGAGAGAGAGAGAGAGAGAGAGGATAAAAATAAAACCACACAAAAACCTGAATTTCTAGTATCTCTAGACATAAAGTCTCTTTATGTTACATTTGGTGTGTCTCCTTTCTTGTAGTGACCTCTGCACATTGGTGTAGGAATCTATTATTCCAGTCACTGGGGAATTCTTTTAAAGCTTTCTTTCTCTCTCTCGCTCTCTTTTTTGTCAGGAATAAAAGATTGTTCATCTTTAACTAGGCCACATATAAATTATGATTCTGCTGCAGTGTATATTTAATTAGAGTAATCTCACTTGAATTTAATTACCTAATGAATTATTTGTTTAAAAGGTAGAAAGACTTGTTTGCCAAGTACAGTGCAATGCACAGATAAGAACTTCTACCACAAGAATATTATTGTTCAAAAATATAATTTTATGGTTCCATATTTTTTAACTCTTTGATTATCTTTACACATGAGTCTTGCAGTTATTTAGGATTGTTTTTTTTTAAGTGTCAGTAATGAAAGACAAACAACTTCAGAACTATTTTTGATTATCTAGATTATTTTCAAGGTCTCATTGTAACCAACAAGGATGGAGTTCAATCATCCTAATGATATTAGAGTCTAAGCCCACCTTTTCTTACCTTTTAACTATCAGGTGCATTTTATTTTTGTGAGATTCGTATAGATAGTCTTCACCAAATAGTCATTGCTTAGTGG